GGAGTGTAATACGATTCATGGTGATAATCTTGTCAGGGGATCATGTTCTTGGGACAAGGTCAGTTGATTATACATAAATGAAAGAACTCACCGAAATGCACTTTACAGTTACCCTGATGCGCACAAAGGAATTGTCGACCCAGCGTCACCGTTCGCCTGTAACGAAGTGAGTTTAAATAGGATCCTCCTACGCTAAAAGCGAAGTTTCTCTCGCGTACCTGAAGAAGGCAGCACATGCTGAGCAAGAAGGTGCATTGAAATGGTAGCCATTCGATGGAGCGCTACAGATTGTGCACTGCCTCGTGGGTGACGGTGATCGAGCTGGCCAATCCCGACATTCTGCAAAGAGTTGGGTCCCTACATACTGCATCTGTCACAACGTATTCGAACTCCACTGAAAACCAGATGATGGATCAGAAGGAGTCAGGGGGAGTACAAGGGTGCTAGTCTTCTTCCCATAAGGGAGCATTGTTGGAGGGCATCAGTACAGCCCGTCCAGTTCAAGAAAGACTGAGATCACCTTTTATATTTGGGAATTTTAGAGCACATTCTTACTCCGTTCACCTTCTATTCGTATTTTTCCATTGCTCAATTTGAAGACTACTCCCGCGATCAAGTGTAACAGGTAGCAGGTGCTCAGTCATGAACCAGTAGCCCATCAAAAGTCATCCGGCGCCTTGGACGAGTTCATCGGTTCAAGACAAGCCCAATCAGAAGATTTCGCAATACGCGGTTGCACTGGTTGCAAAAGTCACGGTCTCTAGCTTCGCTGTCTCGCCATTTCGAGTGGAGAAGGTGGTATATTTTCTGCGAGTGCGGACAACTGGTAGAAACACGGAGGCATTTCGCTAATCACTTGATCGCGGGAAGTGTATTTAAAGAGAAGATCCACTGGCCCGCTTATCACAAGCGCGGTCCCGGAACGGCGCCCTGCCAGGTCCACCAAATCTCTTACCAACTGGAGCTGATAAACTCATGCTGGAATCGTTTGGGAGGAATATATACTCAGGTTCGCTGTGGATAAAGGGGCGTGTCAGGCAGTATGAGAGCGCCATGGTGCCAAACCGTTCCCTGCCAGTTGTTGAAGCAGGTATACAACAACAATTGGTAGAAAATGAATATGAGCCATATGATTCAGTTTTGTCGCTTTAATAGCTGCTGGAGGACGGGCTTGACACGCCCCTCCGTCCGCAGCGAACCAGAATCCGTGTGTACGAGCGCGGCTTTAGAACCTGTAATATACTCCATAATGGGTGTTGAAATATAGCAACAGCTCCCTCGGTAAGACTTCTATTTATTTAGTGTGGGTACTGACAGATTTTTGT